GACTCCGCCCACAAGGGGCGGGGTTTGTGCGGAAATTCATAACTCCCGTCCCCATGGACCTAGAAAGTTCAAACTTGGTAGGAGTGCGGGCGACAGGATGGGAACACCTATGGTGGGTGGCAAAATCGAGCTCCGCCTACAAGGAGCGGGGTTTGTGCGAAAGTTCGTAACCCCTGTCCGAATGGACCTAGAAAGTTCAAACTTGGTAGGAGTACAGGAGATAGGATGGGAGCACCTATGGTGGGTGGCAAAATCGGACTCCGCCCACAAGGGGCGGGGTTTGTGCGAAAATTCGTAACCCCTGTCCCCATGGACCTAAAAAGTTTAAACTTGGTAGGAGTACAGGCGACAGGATGGGAACACCTATGGTGGGTGTCAAAACCGAACTCCGCCCACAAGGGGCGGGGTCTGGGTAAAAATTCAAAATCTGTCTCAGTGGACCTAGAAAGTTCAAACTTGGTAGGAGTACAGACATCGCGACGGGGAAACTTATGGTGGGTGGCAGGACCAGACTCCGCCCGCAGGAGGCGAGGTTTGAGCGGAAACTCATAAATCCGATAAAGGCCTATAATGAAAATCAGCTCATGCGGTTCCGTCTCTCATGGCTAGAGCCCCTAGCGCGCGAGGGCGTGCGTAGCCGCCTGGTTTTCCTATATGTGTATTAACAACACCGCTGGTCCCTTTTTATGTTTGCTCTGGAGTACAGTGTTTCCCTAACTCGGGCGACCTGATCTTCGAGTCATATCTCAACTGGTTTTTTGTCGCACAAGTTTCTAGGACCTTTGCAATCCCTTTCAGTTACCCAGGCCTACCTATACACGTCTATCGTGACTCCGACAATACAGTGCAAGTCAACATGTTCCAGCAAACGCTTAAGTCTAGGTCTTACACCCTGGGTTCGTTCAAAGAGGGGACCTATTTTGATCCGTCCGGGAACGGCTACGTTGTTTTTGTTGCCTAGACTGACTTTGCATCTTACTGTACCCTAATTGAACTGTACTGAACTCAAATTCTCAAGTATTCTTAAGGGACTGATGACTTAGGTCAACTCGATATAAATTCTGGGTCTATATCCGCGGCTCGTTGTTCTCGACTTGGGACCGCTGAAGAAAGAGAATGTTGCCTCTTGGCATACATTATCTCCCTGCTACTATTGCTGGTTTTTTGTTTTTTCAAGAACTGTGGGCACTGTTTATTTCTTTTGTCGCCTCGTGTCCTAACTAAGTGACTAACAGTCTTGTGGTTTGTTTAGGCGCACCAATAGTGTAAATGAATAAACAAATTAACAATGATGCAATAAGCTCTCGTCACATACCGCATATCTAGCGTTTAGGAATGGTAGTGTGTATTGATAGACATGTAGTTTGGTATTATATTTGTTAACTCACAGTATCATACGCACGCAAGTGCAGGTGGGTAGTACTGTAATAGTACTCTGTAAGAATAAAATGCAGTGACAGTTCTGGATACAAGTTTTCGTGGTAGCTACGCAATTAGAAAGCCTTTACTCGTATGTGCCTCACCCTTGATGCTGGCTTTCAGAAATGGAACCGGATGAAGTAGTGCCGTGTATATAGAGCATGAAAAATGCTTATGATTTTCTGGTTAAGATCGTAGGTAATCGGTTGACACCTACTGGTCGAACTGGTCAGAATTGTGAGTCTGTGGGTTTTTCCTGGATCGATAGGCTATGCTTGGAGCACCAGAATTTTCTTCCAGAGCAGAACCTTGAAGTGCGGAGCAAGGATAGCAAGGAGATGGAACAAGCTGGTTTCATGACGATCGCAAGCTTGGTATTTACCACTTCGACACCGTCGCTCCCGATGCCAGACGCCCGAATTTCAATATCATGTGAACCGCTCGTCGCCAGTGTTTCGGATCCACGAGACGTACGCAACTGACTACCGGGCTGCTGTCAGCTCAATTCCTTTGCGTACATTTCTAGCCAACCCAGAGATCACTGTGTACAAAAGTGGCACGAAAAACAACGACAACACGATGAAAATGCAGCTCACCCTTGAGCATTGTTGCGATTGCTTCATCTCACTTGGGGCTGTACCTCTTTATATTAAAGAAGCGTTACCGTGGTTTACTTTGCGGCTCCCTCTTTCATGTCAACCAAGTGATTAAACCAACATCCGGATGGATTAGCCTGGAATCTTGAGGCAGTCGAAACCTTAAGGAGCAAGCTTCTGAACCTTGTAAACGAAGCTTGCAAATGAAGTGAAAGACCCATATGCAGTTGCGTCCACAGGAACATCTCAGCTACACAGAGACTCATTTTCAACTTTTGTGAAAAAGGAGCCGAAGAGAAGATCAAATTCAAAAGTCTATTATATAGGAGTCCATAGACTTGAACTAATCATGAGCAGAGCTATCTGTCGATCTTATTACATTGTTCATTTTTTTTTCTATACAGACACAGACATATATATGATATTTCTATACAGACATCTTTCTTCACTCTGACCCACAGAGAAAATGTTCACCGACACTGTGACTACCAGCACGGTAAACCGATTTTTGCCTAAACTTTTCGATACATTTTCGGGAGCCGAGTTTTCTTCTGGTCTTTAAACAGTTAAAGGAATTACAATTACTCCTGACACCCGTGTGAGAGACCTAGGTTTTCATTACACTGACACAGTTGGCATTTCTAAATACATCATATCTCGGTGTACCCTGACCTCAATGCACATCTCCGTGGGGTTGTCTTCCACGAACAGTTGCCTTTCTTGAAGCTTAAAACATATGCTCGACCTTTGGTTGGGAGTAGTGCTGCTGTGTTTAACTCTTCTAAGAGAAGGAATGTTGAAGCACTTGAGAGGATGCAAAACAATTCTACGCGTAAAATCCTCTGACGGTGAAGGAGTTTTTCGATTCTAGGATCCCTAAAGCATAAATCCGCAATAATGTATTGTACTCTCTACTATGGAATTACAGCCCAAGGTATTTGACTTATGTTGTTAATTTACAAACTATTGTACCAGTGTAATCTTTTGTTTGGTTCTTTTGATCTTTATAATGCGGCGCACTCTCGAACAAGAGGGTCCGTCAAAATGATTCGTCCTACGCCCAAAACCAGTATAAGGGCCAGAAGCTTCACATTTAGAGCGGCTAGCCTCTACAAGGAGGTAACAAAAAACATGAACATTCCAAGTTTCTTGTCTAGATGGTAGGTTCAAACGCACTGTGGCAGCGAATCTATCTAACTGCCATAGTTCCTTGCGGCTGACCACTACTACGCCTCTGTTTTGAATCTGGCTTTGGAAATGCACTATTTGCCTTATTTCACCTGCCTTTTGCCTTTCTAACACTGATGCCACGTGATGCTTACGTTTTCCTCCAATATGGATGGGGAATAAGGATAACCTTTCTAACCTTCCTTCTTTAAACTTCTGACACCTTGAAAAGAAAATATGTAAGAGGCAACCAAACCTCTTAGAACTGTTAGACGGTCATGATACGAGACAAAAAAAGTGGAAAACACACAAAAGGCGACTGACTGTCATGTAGGAATAAAGATCTTACCATGAAGAATTTGAACTCATTAGCTGTTATCACTCCGTTCCCATCCTTGTCAAACACACGGAAAGCCTCGCGAATCATTTCGGAATCAGTCTCCTTCATTATTCTAAATACGAAACACCATTGTAACAACCATTATTTATTAAAATTGGAAGGCACTCTATACAATTTCATCGTCTTATTGGTTAGTACAATGCAATGTTTAGTATTCTAATCTGTGTTTTCTCTCGTATCCTATTATGGCGAGTTGACCCATGTTGAGTTAATAATCAGAATTTTAAGTTGGTCAGTGATTTGCTTGTATCTCCTTCACAGTGAATGGATGATATGTCTCTTTGGGGGAACGTGCGATCCTATCAAAGAGATAATGGGGTATGGCCGCAAAATGAGGCGCGTAAAGTATAGCTAGGTAAGAGCGAAGCCAAATTTTAATGTTGCAATCCCTCATAACTGAAAGCATTCCGTCTGAACCGTAGCTGCATGTGCTTCAGAAACTGGCCAAAGAATAAGCTCACGTACGGATTGAAGAATTGAACGGAAAGAGGGTCCAAGAATCAGAAGGGAAACTAGGCGTCGTCATTTGCATTCACCGACTTTGGTGTTGCGGAAAGCGCCATTTAAAATAGCTCAACTAAAGTTGCCACATGTTTTTTTAAATATGGTCATTTATTTATTGATGGACAGCGAATGATTTTCTGAAATCCCTCGGAAATTTTCAGAAGAAGTTCTCTCAGAAGCATAGTTCGGGTCCTTTTACCTAACGAAAGCCACCTTGATCAAAAACAGAGAGCCATCTTCGGTTTTAAGTTGTTTAGGGGAGGAACTCAACAAATCTATTTCCTATGCATTTCTAAACGCATCTCAAGAAGGATGATAGTAAACAGCTTTTGACCCTCCTTGAGATGCCTTCAAAATTGCCTAGTTGCCTGCGCCAGAAGTGTTTAGGCAGTTTTTAAATTCCACTAGAAATGTTAGACGTTGAATCCATTTCTATTTTTTCGTTTTTTTTAAAACTTTTACTGGTATTCGGTTCAACGCCCAATCTTGTATTCATTCTTTTATATCGAAGACGTGAGAATGAAGAAATAAGAAAAAAATTTTCATCAAACAAACTAATTGTCCCTCAATTTTCATGGGTTGAAATGCGCAACCTCTTTCACCAGCAAGGGTTCAGATTCCGAAATCAAAGTTTGCAGTTTTGAATTTAATCCTTATCATCTATATCTTAAAGTAGCTCACATGAGAGCCTAGAGTATCCGGGAAAATAATTTCCCTTCCCTAGCAAGAAATCCCAATGGTTACGTGGCATGGCTCTCGGTTTCGAGCAATCTCTTGAGATTTGGGAACCATCGACCAAGCACTTATCTCAAGTTACTCTGGGAATGAGAGACCACCACTGTTCAAGGGTGTACATAAGCCCATCGCCAGTTTGCTATTGTTTCAATTTATCGTCTTTCACAATAATCCAATTCTGGAAAGATTGATAGGGAATTGAGAGAATGCTCAAAAATGTGCCATGCATTTGAGGACCATCAAGATTCCTTGAAGCATCATATCATCGATTTGAAAAAAAAAACGGCTGCGCAGGGGCGACTGACCATATGACCCTTACTGTCATGTGGTCAACTGAATGTGACTAGAATGAATGTATTCTCGGCATTTTAAGATGAAATATTCAGAGGCATCAAGGGGTGTTCGATCCTGGGAACGGCACCTTAAAAAATGTTGTTTTCCAGATAATGGCGTCATGTTGCGTCTTAATGGCTTATATATAAGCCATAAAGAAGGCGAGGGCAAGCGGGGTCTCGGTAGTGTAAGGGATAAGAGATGTAATGTCTTTATCTGTTATTTACAAGTATCTGGGCAAGGTTGTGTTTTTGGCCCACAATGTAGCCGTTCACGACCGCTAGCCCTCAGGCTTCGTAAGAGCGGAGGTAAGATGAAAACTGTCCACAATCGTCTGGGTCAACTATTTATTCGTATCAAAATATTAGCTGACGTTTCAAAAACTTCACTAGAATCCCAGATAAATTTTTTGGGCTTGAGAAAACCACTCGGACGGAGTTTGCTCGAACACTCCAGTTATTTTTGGAAAACGTTTTCAAACTTCCGAGTTACGTAAACTGAAATTTTAGAGTTTTAAGCCAAGTCTCTAGGTTAGGATGAAGTTCAAATGGTTTGGGTACTCCAAATTCATTTTGGAAGATCTGATGATCCTTCAATTTGGCGGAGGGAGCAGTCGTTGCTCAGCATAGGAGAGTTCCCATGAAAATAGACATACCAAAAATCAGAAAAAACCCCCAAATTATATGGTAGGGGGAGCGGTTGTCAAGCATGATTCCTGACGGTAGCGTGACGTGTGAGATAAATCCTAACTATAATAATACGGTGATCCACATAAAGCTATCTGACGAGAGTAATATTCCCAGCCTGCCATCTTCCATCACGTTTTCTTTCCTTTTCCGTCCAGGATCTTACTTTTCTTTTTTCATACCTCCGAATAGAATATCCAAGTGTTTGAGTGCGAAGATCGAAACGGTCAGTAAACAACCCCGATGTTTGAGATAGATCGAGCCGCAGCACCATCTATTAGGCTCAATACGGAAGCTTTCAAAAAACTTCTTGAGTGATCATCCATTCTCCTACTTACCGCTTCATCATCACACAGAATTCAGGAAATTCCACTTGGCCATTACCATCGATGTCAACGTCGTTAATTATCTCCAGAATTTGCTGAAAATACGGCCATAAACACCATGAACATTAATATATCATCATCAAACTAATTGAATGCGAGTTATGTTGGCCTGGCACTCTCTATGATATGGGTGATGCTCTGGCAAAGCATGATGGCCTTTCCCTCTACCTAGCGGTAGTCCCTATCCGTCGCAGGGACCGTGTTCCTATAGGCCGTCTCCATTTATTTCTATCTATAGTATCTTCTGTAGTCACCTTGATTTCGGTGAAATAATTCTTAATCATGTTCCGCCACCCCTTGTTTGGGACCCCTCGTTGTCGCAACCCTTGGACTTCCTATTCTGTTGCATTCTTCACCAATCCAGTACCATTCTCAGCACGTGCCCGTATTGTGACAGGGACCGCTCCCTCATCTTTTGTTTATACGGTAGTGCCAGACAAAATAGAGGAACGAGAGAAGCGAATTCCCTTGCGACTACTCGGTCTTCCTTATTCGTTAATAGGTTCTATTGGAGAAAAAGGCTCTTTGCTATAAGATTCCCTAACTGCTGCGCACAGAAGAGTTGATTAATGTGAATCGTACCCAGTGCACTCTAGATACTCTTCCTG